ACAAATGTACATATGTGCTTGACTCAGTGAATGTATATGTGGACTGTGATAAGAATTGTACGAGCCTTCAATAAAATAATTTTAAAAAAATGATTAAAAAAAAAAAAAGCCTGCAGCACAGGGAATCCAGGATAGATAAACCCCTCAAGACCAACAATGAAAATAGAGATACCAGGAGTTTAAGGAGAAGTTGGGGAGAGAAAGGTGGGAATCAATCATAAGGATCAACCTAGAACCCCCTCCCAGGGGGATGAACAACAGAAAAGTGGGTGAAGGGTGACAGAGGACGATGTAAGACATGAAAGTAATAGTCTATAACTTAACAAGGGTTTGCGGGGAGGGGGCGAGTGAGGACCTGAAACAAAGGGCTCAAGTGGAAAGAAAATGCTTTGAAAATGAGGATGGCAGCATATGTACAAATATGCTTGACAAAATGGATGAATGGATGGATTGTGATGAGATGTAAGAGCCCCAATAAAAATACCTAATAAAAAATATATAAATAAATAAGATCTGTAGCAATAAAACATTCTTGAAAGGTGATGAAGCACAAAGATCTAGAGTTTGGAAGATTAAAACACTATGGGAAGTACTCCAAGCAGGCCATTTTAATTGCAAGCAAATATTTTTAAAACTGATAACTGACAAAGATAAGAAATAAAAAGAAGTGTGGGGAGAAAAAACAACTCAGTGCCATCAAGTCAAAGCCAGCTCATAGCGACTCTATAGGAGAGGGTGGTTCTACACTTGTGAGTTTCCAAGACTAGCTTTTTATAGGAATAAAAGCCTTATCTTTCTCCAGTAGGGTGGCTGGTGGTTTTGAACTGCCAACCTTACAGTTAGCTCAGTGTGTAACCACTATGCTACCTGGGATCCAAATCCATATTAAAATTTGCCAGCTATCTCAATAATTAGGAGTCCCTGAGCAATTCAGACAGTTAAGCACTCAGTTCCTAACCCAAAGGCTGGCAGTTTGAACCCACCCAGAGGCGCTTCCGAAGACAGGCTGCCCAGCAGTTCCAGAAAGGTCACGGCCTCAGAAGCCTGCAGCGTGAGTTGGAGTCAGCCAACAGCAGCAACAGAACTACTTTCTCCCTGATCAGGATCAGGCATGGCGTTCCATTGCCCTGTATCTGTTTGCTTTTTCAAAATCGGAAACAATTCCTCGCCCTTCATTTGTCTTGTACAACCTTGACATTTTTAAGAGTTCTGGCTAAAATGTTTACAGTATGTTACCTCTATTTGGATCTGTTTGATGATTCCCCAGGATTAAATTTAGGTCGTGGCTCTTTGTGGCGGAGGAGTGGAATACCACAGAAATAATGTTGAGTCCATTTCAAAACTGTTTTTGCCCCTATTGGTACTTTTCAGCACGGTATGGGAAGCTTCCCTTCCTTGATCGCAACTAGCATCAGTTTGCCCCAGTGAGACTCGGTATGGTGAGATTCAGTGGGCACCGGGAAGAAAGGGCAGCAGTCTTTGGAGAGTTATTTGCCCCAAGAATATGCTTATTTATTGTCTTGTCTGTTTAACTTGTGAATTGGGTGGTTTACAGAGCAGATCCGTTTCCCATTCAGTATTCATGCACACTGTTTCACGCCATTGATTGGGAACCCCACAATGCCCCAGCACTTATCCCACTTCCTGTGCTTCCTGTTTCCCTTCCTCCTCCTTTCCTGACCCTTCTGAACTTTGTCCTTGAATACATGCTGCCCTGTTGATCTAAAAGAATGATCGATTATTCTAAAGTATTCTTACCTCCTTAATGTTACTGCTCCCCCTATCGACCTGTCTGTTGTTCAGCTGAAAACTGAACCAGTTCAGGTCCAGACCTGAAGGGTGGCCAAGGACCATAATCAGTGGTTTCCATGCATCTTCAATTTTCATCATTCTTCTTTCCTCCTGGCAGGCAGAGAATACAAAGTTCACTGTAGACAGCTGCTCACAAGCTTTGTAAGACATTGTCTTTGTGGACTGTTATGCTGGTTGACCTTACTATCCCCTTAGCCTATGGTCCTGATCCAATGACTCATTCCCTCAAGGTGTTTGGTTCGGCTAAGTTTTCATAACGTTGTCCTCGTGTGTTGTACCACATTCATTCAGATATTTGCAGCAAAGGTAAATACACATGTACAAATGTCCTCTGTCAAGTGCATAGTTTTGAGTCCACGCCTACTCTCCCTCCCACGCCTGCTCAGCCTGCATGTGCCTCTGATTGTAGATCACCCCACTGCAAGGCGCTGTGTACAACAGTATGTCCCTCTGCTGCCTCTCACTCTTGCACTCCTGCCAGTGTGTGATTTATTTTGAAGGGAGGCGACATGTATCGTACAATCCAGAGAAGTGTGTCTTTCACTCGGCTTCAGGTGGATTGGAAGGAGATTACAGACTTTTCACTTGAGGGTCCCTGGGTAGATTCAGATGATGGTGAACCCAGTAGGATCACATGTGTTAAGCTCTGTCACTTTCATCATTGTTTTCCAGGGGACCTAAAGGTTACGCATCACTGTTGTGATGGGTGGCTGAAAGCGGTGGTGTCTGTGCATCGGTTCCGTGGGTTACTGTTCTGGGACTCTCATCTGTTCTGACTCATTTGCTTGAGTCTGAAAGGGGTTTCTGAAGCATGTTTATTTGACTCTGTCTTTGTTACTAGAACATAGACCTCCAATAACTGAGTGTGGTGGGTGAAAGAGGGGAAGATGGGAAGGGAAGTAAATGTGGCCTCCCTGGATGTTCTACCAGGGACAGGAGTCTGCTCCCTGGTCACTGTTCAAGCAGAAAAGTGCTTCTTTTACAGGTGAGCCTGGATTTTCTGAAAGACTGGGAGAGAGTTGATTGTGGTACACTGGCTGTCCCATGTGACTCAAACCAGATCAGGACAGTCACTTAAGTAAAATAAAAATAAGGTGTGACTCATCTTTCTCCTTTTGACTTTTTTTTCAGGGGTTAGCAAAGCAGTCATCAAAACAATGTCTCTCATGGATTTTGAAAAGGTTAATCTTGAACTAATCGAGGCCTTATTGGAGTGGATCGTGGATGGAAAGCACTCCTACCCTCCAGGTAACTGCGTCTTGTCTCTGTGCGCCTGAGGTGATGGCAAAAGAGATGGGGCTTCCTTCCTAACATAATTGCACCGCAGGGACAGCCTCTCCTCCTGGAGCCTCTGCCCATGTTAAAGCTGCTTACAATCTTTTCAGGGGAAATTTTACATTTCATGGTTCCTTTTTTGCACGCATAGGCACACCTCCTTTCACGCAAAGAGGAGATGTTAACAATAGAAAGCTCAAAAGAAAGAAGGTTGAGGGAAAAACCTGAGTGGTCTACACATTCAACATTGGAACCCCGGGTAACAGAGAGTTGGGTAATGAGCGATTGAATCACATGTAAACTCTGCCCACAGAGGCCATGAGGCAGCGGGGTTAAGAGCACAGTCTCTGGACTCTGGTCATCCTCGCAGTTCTGCCCCTCAGGAATCCGTAACCTGGGATACAGCCCTTCTCTGGCCTTTCCTCTTCTAAGCCTTGGTTTCCTTGTTTGTAAAATAAAAATGTATCTCTTGCAGAAAGCTACTCTGAGCATTGAAAGAAACCATATGCAATGTGCTTAGCAGAGTGCCAACCCCAAGATCAAACCTGGGGTCGAGTCTAACTCATCCTGGCCCTATCGGACAGTAACCATGAGATTTACCAGCCCAACATCTTCATGGATGCAAACTGCCTCATGATTTGGCCAGAAGGAAGCTGTGGGTTTGAACCACCAACCTTTTGTTTCATAGATGACTGCTTAATCTCTGCCACGAGGGCTCTTTGACATCTTGCTCATACCCAATAAATCTACCCCTAAGAACTCCACTTACACTAATGCATTTACCATCAACACTAATGCATTTACCATCATCCCCATTATGAGCATTGCTGCTACTACTGCTACCATGCCGCAGAGCAAGCACTACTTTCCCTGCCTCACTGCCTACCTGTCCCAGAGGCCTTGCCACCTCTCTTGCTGTACCTTCTATCCAGAGTGTGACACACTCCCCACCCCGCCCCAGATCTTCTTGACACTGGATCCTTTGCGTCATTCAGGCTTCTGTTTAAATTCCATCCCTTCAGGAAGGTTTTCTCTGACCGGGTATCTAGTTATTGTTGTCTCCCCTCCTCTTGTGAGGTGCCATTGAGTCAGCGCCAATTCCTCGCACCACTGTGCTGCGCCATCCTCATAATCATTCTCTCTGAGGCCATTGCTGGAGACATTGTGTCCGCCCATCCCACTGAGGGGCCTCCTCTTTTTGACTAACCTTCTACTTTACCGGGCATGGAGTTCTTCTCCAGGAACTGCCCTCCTGGTTCTATGTCCAAAGTACATGAGATGATGGCTCACCGCGTGCACTTCTAAGACGCATTCTTGCTGGTCTTCTTCCAACATGGATTTGTTCTTCCTCTAGTAGTTCCCTCGTGCCCTCATAATATCCACAAACGGCTTTTATTTTCTTTATAACATTTAACACTATCTAAAATTACTGTTTTGCTTACGGACAAGCTCCATCAGTAGAATATATGCTCCCTAAGAATAGGGACTTCTTCTTCACTGCTCTGTTCCACAGACCAGAAAACAACAGACTGAAGAAAAGTCTGTTGCATGAGTAATGGATAACCAATATTAGTGGCCATCAAATGGAATAATAAACTTTTAAAAATCATATTTATGCTTATTGTACAGTGTTTATGCGAGACAGTAATGGCTGCCCTCCTGTCATCACGCGGTGCTTTCTGAAGACACTTGTAAAACACATGAAAACTACTGAAGTGCCTTAAAGTTTCTGTTTTTTTGTCAACTAGCCACTGTTGGCTAATGGGTTATCACTGAATTGACTGCCTTGTTTCACCACAGAAAGAAAGGGTTGTTGAAGAAAAGGAAAAAAGATCAAGTGAAGTAAACAAAAATGAAATGTCAGAAAATTACCAGAATTCAAAGCTGAGTAGCCCCAGTAAGTAGGGAGTTGGAATACATATGTGAATATGAAAGATATTCCTGATACGAAGAGCCACCGTACGAGAACAGAGATTAAGAGGCACAGAAAAATTAAACAAAAAATATTTTTCTGTCCATATATAGTTAGTCCCCGGGCTTGGCACACCATTTTACAGAAAATTCGACTTAAGGAAACTCATACTTGTCCTTTAATGCTGTGTACATTTGTCTTCCCTTTAAAACTATTGACGCAACCCCTAGTGGCAACAAATACTTTATCACAGTTACCTTCGCTTGATACTTTTGCTCCTGTTTAAGTCTCTGAAAATGCAGCCACCTTTTCTCGCATAACCAAATCCAGACCCACTGCCAGTGAGTCACTTCTGACTCATCGCAGCCCTCTAAGGGTTTCTGAGGCTGTAAACCTTCACAGAAGTGGACAAGCGCCTCCTTCTCCCCTGGAGCCTGTGGTGGTGGTGAGCCTCCCACGTTGTGGTTAGCAGACCAACACCTTACTTGCAGCAGCCTCTCCAGGGCACCTGTTTCTTGCACAGAAGTACAGGAGAATAAGAATTGTAAGCACCTCTTCCTGCTTACCTGCAAACTTATCTTAGAGACTTACACAGGGATGGATATCATTCATATCCCTGGAACAATCAGTAGGTTAGAGTAACATTTAAATTTTGTGCCATTTTAGAGAGGAGCAGTGGGTATATAGTAGAAAGAGCATGCAGTTAGTGTCAGAAACCTTAGGTTTGCAGCCAAGCATCGCTCCCATGAGCCCGTTGACCTGGCCCAGTTTCTGAGCCTTCTCCTCTGACTATTGTTGCCTCACTGAAGTGGGGATATTAAGGGATATAATAAACTCCTTAAAGAGTCACTATGAGGATCAGAGGAAATGATGGGCGTAAACACTTTTTATATACTTTTCCTAAAGTCCTAAAAACACCAAAGGCTCAAATAGAAAGTAAACATTTACAAAATGATGATGGTAACATATACAAATATGCATGATACAATTGATATATGGATTGTTAAAAGAGCTGTAAGAGCCCCCAATAAACTGATCTTTAAAAAATAGATAAAGGCCTAAAGCAACCCTGAGAAACCAGGCCCTCTCAGTTCAATTTCAGTTTGTTAGTAAGTTTCGCCCGTGTTTACAAGAGGGCTTCCAAAGAGTGCCTGGAGGGACGCCTCATCTCTGCACTCCACAGCGCTTTACGCCTCTGTCCGGTATCTAGAGTTAGATGCCAAGTTGGCCAGCCACATATGGTTTCTTTTTCCAGTAAAAATGGCTTTGGGTTTTATTAATTATGAATAATCTTGTGTTACAAAATCTGAAGGCTCACTCTTCCTGTAGACACAGGATTTATGAGACCTGGGCACTGAAGAAGTATATTTAAAGAGCTTTGTGACTAATTTTCTGCTCTCTAATAACTTAAGGGAGCTGTTCCTGTTGTGGAACGATTGATTTGAATCCTTGGGGACCATACAAAGAAAAGAAAATTGATTGTGAAAATTTTCGGATTTGGACCATATTCCTTCTCAGAGCAACCAATGCACAGAGAGGACTGTAGGGCCGGCCCCACCACGAGACATGGTGTCCCCTCACTGACCCATAACACTATGGGGAACAACACTGGAGACAGTGCAGGAATTGTGCCTGGTCTGATCCCCACTACACGGGGTGTGGGGGGGGGGGGAAGTTGTCGACATGAAGGGAGTACAACAGAGCGGAAGGGGAGCAAAGCAATGAAGTTCCCGAGGAATCCCCAAAATAGACTTCGGGGGCAGGACTTGGCACCTCATCAGACTCGATCAGAAAACATTCATAAAGGTCAGCAGACAGACCTGGAACTATTGATAGCCTTTTTTTTTCTTTCATGTTTATGTATCTGATAGGCAGGATAAGCAATCCTGAGGAGAAAACAACAGAACAATGATTCCCTGGGGGGGCAGGGGAGAAAGGAAGAGATGAGCCAGCAAATCCAGGGACAAGGGAACAAGTGATCTAAAATCAATGGCGAGTGTAGTTTGAGGTGGGGGGGGCAGCCCCCCACCACTTATCTCAGGTTCAGTAAGCACAATTGTACGGTTGAGATTATATATATATATATTAAAGTCATCGAGAGCATGAGCGATAAAAGAGATATTGCAATAATGGAATCAGACACATTTTATGGGAGCATGCTCACCTCAGCCCCGCTTAATGGTCCACTTGGAAAGAGGGTCAAGGGAACAAGGAAGTGAGGATGGGAGAGGAGAGGAGGAGCCGAGAGAGCGAGGGGGAGAGAGAGGAGGAGAGAGCTCTCTATTGCTAACCCAGGCCTATATACCTTTTGGGGCATTCAAGCCCACTAATTACAGGTAAAGACATGCGTCACAGGAAGGGGTTGCACTATGGGTTATATAGAAATGAGAGGGGGTGGTCTAGGGACATACACGCAATAGGAAGAGGAGGGATTGGGGGTATACATGTGACAAGATGGGCAGATCCTAGATTTAGGATGGCTTCTTAGCTTTGACCTGTTCTCTGGATCTCCATAGGAACCATTATCAATAGGGTATAAACCCCACCTACAGGAACCAAATACATGACTGTAGGCCTGTCCATTGTCTTTAACAGCAGGGAGCAGGACCCTCTGCAGTCTGGCAACTGATCGCCCTCAGGGAGGATGCATGCAAGCATCTGACCTCCCCCCACAGGCAAGGAGGGCATAGAATGTCTGGTGGGGTTTGATCAAGTGCAATGTAGCCAAGAGGAATTACTGAAAGCCAAATGAAGGTCAAACATGAGAGTGGGACAGGAGGAAAGTAAAAGGAAATAGAGGAAAGAGGAGGAAAAGGCCATTGTATAAATACAGGCATGTACATATGTAAATATGTAATGATAGGGACATATATCTATGTACATATATGTATATGTTTAGTATTAAGGTAGCACATGGACATTGGGCCTCTACTCAAATCCTTCCTCAACGCAAGAACACTTTGTTCTAATAACATGGCATTCTGTGATGTCCACCTTTTTTTTTTTTAATCGTTTTATTAGGGGCTCATACAGCTCTTATCCCAATCCATACATACATCAGTTGTGTAAAGCACATTTGTACATTCATTGCCCTCATCATCTCAAAACATTTGCTCTCCACCTAAGCCCCTGACATCAGCTCCTCATTTTCCCCTC